AAAAAAAAAAAAAAAATTTATAAATCTGATACATCCTATCTAATCTTAACGTATCCCTTGTAAATACAAGTGAATTTGTTTGATTTTTCTTTTGTTGAAAAGTATCGATAAAATATTATATTAAAAATATGCCGAAAATTTCACGTTATTAATATAAATATATTTAAAAGGAAAAACTCTGAATATATTTATACACTTATTGTTGGAACAGTGCCGGATGATCATCCGTTAATTATTCATTATGCTTTTTTCACGTGGAAGACCGTTTAAAATTAAATCGTCATGAATCAAAGATTTTCTAATGTCTTAAATTTTCAGACGTATGAAACGGCAGATATCCCGGAATATCGGGAGCCAACTGATTTGGAGAAAGAATATCGTGATTTTCCGGAGGAGAAGTTGTGGAGCCCGAGCGAAGATGTCGATAAGTGGTTTCCCGATTATAATGTTATGGCACGGTCTGTCTTGACTTTTGTGCAAGAGAAGCAGGGTGTTTCTAACGAGGAAGCCATGGAAAACGCATGTTCAGGATTTGCGGAACAATATATTACGGACGTTCTTTTTCATTCTGAATACTTGCCAGAAGTAGCATTAAAAAAATTACTCAACAAAGAATTACCTCGAAAATTGGTGGAAAAATGGAGCCCCGAAGATATTGTAAGTTTAATAATAATTAATTCCTTTCTTTATAACAAATTTAATTGATTTTAATCGATGATGGATTATGAAACGATCTTGAATTAAAAATTTTCAACGAATAATTTTAGAATAGCTTATTTTCTTTTTTCTTTTTTTTACTAAATCGAATCGACATTTTAATTATATTTGCTATTGCATTTGATGTTGCAGAAAATTTTCGAGAAAGGCTTTTTAACTTATTGGTCAAATTTTGGTATAATTCAGAGGAAACTGCTTCCGCACAAAAATGTGGTATGTTATATTTATATATCTTAAATATTTCCTCCTTTTTCACTTTCCTTTTCCCTTTCCTTTATTTCAATTTCATTAATTTTCTCGTCTCAAATTATTCCAAATTTATTCGATACTCGATCGAATTCTATAATATCATAGATTCATTTTCTTCTCACGAAAATTCATCCATCTTCTCCCACATTCTTTCCCCTTACATATACTTTCACTTATATTCATTATTTAATCGTGAAAAATTTGAAGAGAAAAGAAAAGAAAAGAAAAATTTGTGATTTACAGGAGGACATCGTAGAGTTTTATTACGTGTGGAAACGGACCGAAGCCGGAAGAAAACTGAAGCGTTCCTGTACCCGCCGACCTAAACGGTTCACCATGCGTCGTATTTCCGCGGAATTGTCATTAATAAAGAAGAATTCCGCGAAAAATTCCGTTCGAAAAGTTTCAAAAGCTCCTCCGAAGAAAAAAGGGAAGAAAAATTGTAAATTGGTGAGGAAAACGACGAGAGCTTCGAAAGCGAATCAGAAGACGAAAAAAAAAAATTGTTCGACCGCTAAACAATAATGAACGAACGAACGAACAAACGAACGATCCTTAATATTGTGATTATGACAGCTTTCAAGACTGAGAATCGTATCTTCCAAGATATTGATCACTACATTCATTTTCTTTCTTCTATTCTACATACATCGCCCACGCCACATTCTTTCTCAAACCAACAAAACGATAATATTATTGACTAATATATATATATATATATATTATTATTATATATATATATATAATATATATAAAAAAAAAAAAAAAGAAAAAAAAAGAAAAAAAAAAGTGTGATTTTACCATAGTTAATTTTTGAAAATTTTACGAGATCACTTTTTCTATTTATGAAAATAGGAAGGGGAGGGAGAGGAGAACTAAATATTCACTTCAAAAACTTATTATCACCTGTCTTTGAAGATCAAAGTACTTACTAGTCATTAGTTGATTAAAAAGGATTCATCGGTTCGCAATTAATTGATCAGTGTAAATTAAACATAGAATGATCTCCAAAAAAAAAAAAAAAAAAAATGTGACAAAATGATCTCGTATTGTTGATTCACGTTGATTGATGTATTATAAAATTTTGGAAATAATTGTATATGTATATAATTCATTTTTAGTTATGTATACCATTATACACTTGGCTGCAAAGAATATTCGACCGACTATTTCTATTTGTATACCGCACCATTATATTTCCTTTCCTATAATACCGTTCAGTATATATTTATTAAAAAAAAAAAAAAAAAAAAAAATAAATAAAAAAAGTAAATTTCGAGTTCTCTTTGTCGTGACACGTAATTTTATACCAATCAGTCAGATATTTTTGTGACCAATTGTATTATTTTATTTCATCAATATCTTTTTCATGTATCATTTTACTTTTATACATTTGTATATATTAATATTTTAATTGACGTGCAATGTAATGATCATTTCTTTGAGAAGTGATGTTATTGTTAAAATATATTTTATATAAAATAAAAAAAATTGGTGATTGATTAATTTAAACGAAAATAATAATAATAATAATAATAATAATAATAATAATAATAATA